TATCAGCACCTAGTCTAAGTTGGGACGCCTTCCTGAAACAGTCAGGTGAGGAGATAGAATTGGTAAGTGATATGGACATGTTCCAGTTCTTTGAGAAGGGAATGAGAGGCGGCATAAGTCACATTGCCCATAGACACTCTACAGCAAATAATAAGTACATGGAAACGTACGACGAAGATCTCGAAAACAAGTTCCTTATGTACCTCGATGCCAACAATTTATATGGTTGGGCGATGTCGCAGCCGCTGCCTAATGGTGAGTTTGAGTGGATCGAGGATTTCGATGTGGCAAACTTAGATGATTACCTTGGAGACAACGGAAGGGGTATGGTTTTAGAGGTTGACATGGAATACCCAAAGGAACTTCATAATCTACACAACGGTTATCCGCTAGCACCGGAGAGCAAGGAGATTGGTGCCTCAATGTTGTCAGACTACGCGAAGGATATTGCTGATAAATTCCAGCTGACAATTGGAGGAGTAAGAAAACTGGTGAACTCCCTAGGTCCCAGGAAAAACTACGTCTTACACGCCCGCAATCTGAAACTCTACACGGAACTCGGAATGAAACTTACAAAGGTCCATAGAGCCGTCTCATTCAAACAGTCCCCTTGGCTTAAGAACTATATCGACTTCAATACGAAGAAACGGTCAGTTGCACGTAATACTTTTGAAAAGAACTTCTTCAAATTAATGAACAACTCGATCTACGGAAAGACCATGGAGAATCTAAGGAAGAGAGTTGACGTGAAATTAGTGTCATCGGAAAATGACCTCCTAAAACTTACAGCGTCGCCGTGCTTCCAGTCGCATAGAATTATGAATGAAAACTTAATAGTTGTAAAGCGAACGAAGGAAGTTCTAACTCTAAACAAACCGTGCTACGTTGGAATGAGCATCTTAGACTTATCAAAGACTCTTATGTACGACTTCCATTATAATACAATTAAGAAGGAGTACGGTGACAGGTCAAAGCTACTGTTCACAGATACTGACAGTCTGATGTATGAAATAAAGACTGACGATGTGTATGAGGACTTCAGAAGGATCGGTGAGGAGAAAGACTGCTGGGACAACTCGGACTATCCGAAAGATTCCCCGTACTACTCGGCTCATAATAAGAAGGTGATTGGTAAGTTTAAGGATGAAGCCGGGGGAGTACCAGTGATTGAATTCGTTGGGTTAAGGTCGAAGATGTACTCCTACGTGAAGGAAAGTGGTGGAGGTGGAATGACCGCGAAAGGAGTGAAAAAGTATGTGATCAGAAACAAACTCACTCACGAAAACTTTAAGAACGTAATCAAGACAAGAGGTTTGATGAGACATAAGATGAACACGATCAGATCCGTCAAACATAAAATCGGAACTTATGAATTGAAGAAAATCACACTTAGCTGTTTCGATGACAAACGGTACTTACTTGAAGATGGTGTTACAAGTTACGCGTACGGACACCACTCAATAGAACCAAGTTGTTAAATAATGAATTTAGAAATTAGATGAAAATTAATTGAAAAATATTGCAAGTAAAAATGAGGTAAAAATACCACGGAAAAAAAATGGTCCAGAAAAATGGTCTAGAAAAATAGGCCGTAAAATAATTTCAAAAAGTGGTCTAGAACCCTCAGTTCCTATACTACTAACTTGTTTACGAGCTCGCTTCGATTAGTGGGATCTAAATCCATGCTGTAGATATTAGATGTAATGCCTAGCAAGCCAAGCGTATCCGCCATCCAAACAGCCATACCTCCCGACAGAGTTCCTAACTCGATGACTGTCTTAGGCTTGACCATATCAAACAACTGATGGTACGAGACGTAATCAATAGGAGACTTGCATATATATCAAAGCCGCGGTATCTCGCTAAGTACCTTCCATTACTCGTATTTTTCCTGGCTTGTGCAGGAACGTCTGTCCGATCCTCCCTCTCGTTTATACGTTGGAAACGTTTCGCACTCGACAACATCTCGTTTCGTTTTAAATCCTGCTTTTTGCGGAGTTCACTGTACGAGTCCGGTTCGTTGGCGAATGGAGGACTGTACTTATCGCCAGTTTAACGTAGACATCGCTGTCTGCTGAGGAGGAGGACAAATTCTGCGACATTACTAGTTTGGCAAAATACGTGAGTTGGTGAGGCAAGAAAACTATACTTGGAAGCGCTTTGAGATCAAGCAGAGAAGTATCAGGCCCATGGGAGGCCAATAAAGGCCCATGGGAGAAATAATGGACCAATCAGAAACGTGGAAATCCAGATGGCCATGGCCCATAGGGGCATAGGCATAGGCGAAAAGCACAAAATCTATACATTTGCGAGTGGCACCAGTGGCGTAGCCATGGACGGGGACCGCCCCCCCCCCCCCAATCGCCACAAAAACCATTCTCTCAAAAAGTCTAAATCTATAGAGAAAATCGAAGTCTAAATCTATCGAAGTCTAAATCTATCGAAGCTAAAACTGACTAAGTCTCGACCTAAGACAACGACGATTTACTGGAGGAGCGTGATGTGTAAAAATAATAATAATAATAATAATTACAATATTTAGTCAGGGGGTCCACTCACAAAAGTGATTTTCAGTGGAGCCCTGATAAAAAAATAAAAAATAAAAATATGAAATTAACAAAAGTGAATATATGAAAGGTTATATAGTATGAAGTTCTTGCGCATCCTATCAGTTAAAAATTCGTTAAAGCATTTGTACATATATGATTCCAAGAAGAATGGATTTAGTTTAGATTTACAACTGTTAAATTTGCATATATATCATTACCATGCATAGCATTGAATATTCTCAAATTTATTCTGTATCTTATGAAAAGTAATGCAATTTTGACTAAGAATGCGAGAAATGGCGTATCATGGACATTAATTATGCAAACGTTTTGATTACGAATGTTCTCTCGTGTTCTCGCGTGATCCATGCATGTACTTGGGATGTTGCTCGACTTTACGCTTTCCGAAAGTCCCGCGACATCCCTCGTACATGCATGCATGGATCACGCAATTCCCACTAAGGTGGAAGAATGTGATTTCGACCGACAATTTTTATTTGACGAGTATGTGGCCATTTGACCTGGATCTGGGCCAATATGACTACTGGGAAACCCTACTAGGAACAATTATGGATGAACATATGCCACGGAAAAGGATGAGAGTAAAGGTCCATTTCCACTCCAGAAAAATTTCCACGGACAGAAAATTTTCCGAAAATATCATTGTTAAAAGTTGAAAATTTTCAACTTCAAAATTTTTTTCCGACGGAAAATTTGTGTCGGCCAATCACATTTTACACAATTTTCTTTCCGCGGAAAATTTTCTTGAGTGGAAATGGGCCTTAAGAGAGACAGATGTTCCATATTATTATATATGACTACAGAATGGAAGCAAGCAATTCGAAATAAGCGAAAGTATATGCCCGAATCTATGCCAAATCTCGTACACCTGAAAACTGGGAAAACTGACAAAAATTGCGACTAAAGAGAGAAGAAAGACAAGAAAGGCAATCAAAGACTT